AGATAATTAACACTGATATTCTTTATTCTATTTACATTCTTATTAATACCATGCCTGACAACTCTGTCATTTATATTTATCCTCAGACCAGTCCTATGAAATATTGTTACCTTTCTCATTCTGTTCCAGATAAGAAAAAGATTAAATGACTTGCAGGCATATTTCTTAGCCACCTTCCTCTTCAACCTCTCCTTAAACCCAGTTCCACTGCCTGATATTTGTCTTCTTTGGCACATTCATTATTTCCTTCCTAATAACTTTTTTTTAAAAAAAAAAAAAACAACCCAAACCAAAACTCACTGATATTATCATTTTTAAATTACAGAAATCTATCATGATGACTCATTCACTTATATTAAGTTGAATATTAGAGACAAGACTTGTAAAAAATTAGAATAGAAGAGAAATATACAGATGCAGTGTTTCATAAAGGTGTTTATCTTTCGGTAAATGTTAAAAGAATCACAATCTAAAATGACATTATTTTTACAGCTCTACTGTCTAAAGCAAAACAAGTGTCACAGACTATTTCCTATGATAATGTTATGAAACTTGCACCATTATAATTTCTTCATTTATACTTCAGTCTTACTGATGTTTGATTAACTTTGTCTGGTTAACATCAACTTTAGTGCTATCTTATTTAGAATTATTGTTTTACACATTGTAATTTTGTATTCTTCTGCGATTATATAATAGGTTTTTACTATCAGGTCTTGAAAGAAGTGATTTATAAGGTTACAAAGGTATGACTATTTCCTTAGCATTCCTTACTCATGTGTAGTCATAATATGAGAAATCTACAGTTCTTAATACCCCATTTTATACACTCAAACAATAGTGGGTTCAGTAGTTACATCAGAAGTGTTTTCAGTGGAGGCTTAGTGGTAGAAGATCAAAGCTGTCATTTTGGAGGAAAACTGGGTTTTAAATTCCAATGACATGTGACAGTAAGCATATTGTCATCCTGGCGTAGAGGTTAAGTATACAAGTGCTGCTGAGAACAACTGTGTTCATATGCTGGTGCGTGAAAACTATCTTCACTGAGATTCTTTAAAAAATGAACCCCCAAAACAACATCATCTACTGATTGTAAGAAGGAGGATACTCAACATTTACTCAGGGCGAATTGTTCTTTTTAGTTCTTTCGATGGGATAACTGAGAAGATCTCATTGTTCACTGGTGCCTCTGTAAACCAATTCAGATCAGTAACTGTGCAGAATCCTCTTCTTTTTAGAGTTTTATTTTATTTATTTATTTTTTTTTTTTCCAAAGTAGCAAACTGAATTGACTCCCTGAGTCAGAGAAGCACCTCAACTAACAGAATGGAAGTGGAAGGACCCTGCAGCCCAGCCTGGGAACAGGGGAGGAATGGAAGAGCTGGCTGTTAGACACTCAGATGTGAATCTTCCGTGCTCAACATTAGACTACAGTTGGGGAATACATGTTATTCTTGAGGCTATCTTTTTAAAAATTTAATTTAACTTAATTCAAATTTATTTTATTTTATTTTATTTTATTTTATTTTATTTTATTTTATTTTATTTTATTTTATTTTATTTTATTTTATTTTATTTTATTTTATTTTATTTTATTTTATTTTATTTTATTTTATTTATTTTTTTTTAATTCCAGGACTGCCAGTATAATGAGATTTCTAAATGTTACATTTAAAAATGAAAGGGGGTGTGGTGTGTATGTGTGTGCAAGAGAAGAGGTATGTGAGAATGCAGACTATTGAGATGATAAAACCACAGTTGATGACACTCTCAGACAGATAATACAACGGTACTAAATAAAATCTTGTAAATAGAAAGACATTGTTCATTTTAATGAATTTGTTACATTGATACTGTAAAACCACTAACAAAACACTCACCTATCACCCCTTCCTCTCAAAAAAAAAACCACCCACAATGATTATCATCTGTATTACACTGATCCATTTAAAAAGTGAACATTGAATAAAGTGAATACACAGATAGCAATTTCCCTGAAAATAATTTCAATGTAATTACTTGTATTGGCCCAAATTTGTTACTGTCCCAAACAAAGTGAGAACAAAACACTAACACTTTGCCAATTTAACTTTTCAAACTTGATCAAGAAGACGACCTGAGCTAAATTAGATCATCGTCTACTTTGCCATAGTATTTGAACAAAATCCAGTCTGCTTTGGTCACAGTAAAACCAATAACCAACTTGAGATCACACCTATGCCAGGGACTATGAATCCTGTATTTCAGGTCCTTCTTCCAGTGTTATAATTTGAAAGGGAAATGTGCAGAAGACAGAAGTGTGCACATGACAGCCTACTTAAACTGACTGGGCTTCTCCTGCTTATGATGACAATGAGGCAGACTTGGTACTATATTAGCTGCCACAGAACAGTTTTCCTTCCAGTCCACGTCTTTCAAAGGCAGTGGCAAAAATTAGTTTTCTAGAGACTATTTTTTCCTGGAGAAAGTGAAATAAAACTTCATTGTATTAATTATTTAAAATATGTTAACATGTAGGACAGAATATACAAGTATTCAAGCATCCTTTCTACTGTATAACTTCTAATGATTAGAAGGAAGAAGTACAGATGGAATTACCCTTATGTTTCTTCTTTTTTTTTCTGATTTGTATAATACTGGATATACTATTAAGCTTCCTTTACTTTAAAAAATTTATTTCATTTTTGCCTTTACAAAAAAATAATAAAAAAAATGAATTAATTCTATAATATTAAGCATGAGCAGAAAGTGTCAGGAAAGAACAAAAAAACCCCAAGTATTGAAATATAGATACAAAGGATCAAAGGTTAAGCTTTGGGAAGACCTCAAAGACATGTATGACTTCTAGATCCCTGATTGAAAAATATACTCTTGTTTGTATTTCAATTTCGTATCTTATGGAAAAAAATATACATAGCCAATTGGGTGAAACTGTTGGATCAGTTATCAGAGAAGTAATTATAATTGATAAAAGTAAAACAACACATACTTAGTCTATTTAATAGCTTCAGATTTTGTTTCTAATATGAATACAACTCAAATGCTGCAGAAGACACAGATGACCCTTTAAATGTTCAACACCCTATCAGTCAGGAGCAGCCGAGTTTCCAAAATCAAAACAACATTAGATTACTAGTTGAAGTATAAAATCAACATATTTTTCAGTCTCTTTTACACAGCCCACAGCTTCTATACAGCCTACAGCAGCCTACAGCAGGCCGCTACTGATCCTCCTCTGCAGATCACAGCACAGCCTCTTCCAGGAGCCAAGTACTTCATACACTGCGTGGATGATGAGTCATTTCTATTTCTCATACTGCTCTCATTTTGAGTTTGATATTGCATACCATATGGCCACAGCCTTCATAAATGAGGTTTCAAGGAAGTCATCTGATGGCAGAACAGAAGCCGCTTTGCTAAGCAGCAAAGCTGCTAATCAATAGGTGGAAGTCCTGAAAGTGGTGGTTCCGTGAAAGGAAAACCCTGTATGATCCTGGTCTAAGTACTTATTACGGCATCATGAAAATGCTCTATTTTCTCTTATGGGTGTAGACACTTAAAAAGCAGACATATTTATAGTGATTACTTTTTCCTGGCTTTGGAGTATTATTCAATCACTTTCTGCCCTGCAGAATGCAGATGTTTTTTGTCAGCACTTCTACTACTTCAGATGCCCTTCCATTTACCCTCTCATGTTGTCTTGGAGTTTCCAGCAATTGCTCCTGTGTCCCTAACCTTATTTTAATCTTGACTATGAACTCTCCTTTTCCTGCTTTTTCTGTCCAAAGTTCATGGATCTCAACTATTATTCAATTGCTCCTATTTTGTCTAGGTTTTTGTTTTTTTTTTTTTTTTTTTTTTTTTAAATCTCATCCACCTTTCTTCATAAATCACCAAAAAAGTCTTTTTACACGGCTTCCCATCTTAGATCTTACAGACATGCAGAGTCTGAGTGGAGCATTCAACATAACAGACTTTTGACATGGAAAATTAAGTCTTTTTCAGTAAATAGAAGAAGATAAACTTATCTGAAAAGTAATTAGGAGAAGGAGTTGAACACTGAGGTCTTAAGTTGGCCTTTGTAAGATCCTTTCTCTCAGGAGTGTGAGCAATATATTTTGACAGTGATGGAGTGTAGGGGGAGAGGATCTTGTAAGTCACGTTTGTATGACTGTGGGCACATACATGGTGGGCAAGGGAACAAAGGAAGAGAGAGTCATTGGAAATGCTGGAATTACCCTCATATCTTTCCAGGGAAAAAGATACATGGAGGATCATGTCCATCTGAGAAGAATAAAACACAGACCAGGTTCCCTGGTGTCCCCATATCTTTCCTTTCTGGTGGATATAAAGGTAGCTTCAAACCGCAGTTGAAAGTTATCTTTCCAGAATGATCATTTAACACCATCTCTACTTCTAAGCATACAGGGAACACTTTTTTTTTTTTCTTTCTGTCTTAAAAAGCTTCAAACTTTTCAGTAGTCACTTAAAGAAAACTTGTTCAAGTTGAAAATTCTGAAATTAAATTTAAAAAATAACTCTTTTTGAATTCACAATGCATTGCTATTTATTATAGCGTAGGAAAAGTAATTTCTTTCAGTGGTCAAGAAAAACAGAATATGTTTTCTGTCACCTAAGAGTGTTTATACTGGACTTCTTTTTTCAACCTGTGAGTCCATGAAGAGCAATTAACACTCATTCATCTACAGTCAACTCACAGGTGGCTTCTTTATCTTTGAGTAACAGAGCCACAATTTTCAAGAAGCTAGCCACAGTTTAATGGTATCCACCATTTCAAAATGACACCAACAATAGAACATTGTATAACACACACTGAAAATCCCTGACCATGAAAATACATAATCCCCAAAGTCTGTTTTGTCTTAGCCACACAGCTAATAACGTCATTGCTTCTGAATCCATGGACTGCCATTACTCCATACTTCACTTGTTCATTATCAATTTTTATATGTTTAAAGATTTTAGTGAAATGACCTTACCCTTGCCTTCTGCTCCATCTCCATCATTAATCTTTCATGTTGTTCTGCTATTGCCAGTGTTGCAGAATGGACTTTCTGATATATCATTTCTCCTTCTCGTGTCTGAAAGGTGAACAGTCCTTCTCCTGTGTCACACATCCTGCAGTGAGATTTAAGCAGAACAGAAGGAAAAAAAATGAGTACTGTGTAATTTTTACCTAACTATTATAAAAATTGCACACCTTGCAGTAGAAAGTGACAACTTTTGTAGTTTAAACTCTGGAATTTCGAACATTTGCAGTTTTTTCTACCATTGAAGAGAGACATATTCCAAGAGATATGCAGAACTTTGCGAACATAACCTTTAAATTCAGTTTTAATCATCCTCTGGATAGTGAAAAAGAAATTTTATCACAGAATAAAAACTTGAGGTAGTAGAATCAGCTATTTCCGGCATTGTTTCAAATGTCTGCACTGGTAAGTGGGAGATAGATTTAATTCTCTTAACCAGTTGGTGCCAGAAGTACATAGCATATCATAGCTTTGAAAAGTTGACATTTTAAGAGAACAGTGAACAATTAAAAGTGTTATGGTTAATCACTACAAAGAAGCTGTACTGAAAGACAGCATTAAGAGGGTTAAATTATAACCATCACTGATACTACATTTATGTGAGGCAGTCTAAAGCTATCTTCATAACTGCAAAAGCTATTCAGTCTATTTGACAATAGGAACAGTATTTCTGTAGTGTAAGAAGATTAAATAGTGAAAAAAAACCCACTAGAAATAAAATTTATTTTCTTTTGAGAGAGCAACTGCTGTTATCCTTATCTGTGATATTGCTGTGCATTATGCTGAAGAAGAGTGGTGCATGGTAAATGCAATGACAGAGAGAGCGCTGGGAAATATAGAAAATGGGAGTAGACAACAATGTTAGATTACTGAGTGACTGTTACTTTGAGGATATATGATGTTAATTAGTGGTCCAATTTGACATATTTGTATCAGTATTTACATTATATTATCAGTGTCTGATTTCCATATTTTTATAGACTTCTTCCAATTTTAAAAATGGAATTAAAAAATCCTTTTTATTTGGTTTGATACTTCCTGTAAAGATTTTCAGTTATCTGTGATATAAAATTATTGACTTGAGTCACTGGTGCTTAGCATCCTTCAACAGTAGAAAGATTTTTATTTGTCTTAAAGTACCACATTTCTTTACTGTTCTGGTTGTTTATTTTTAAGGACATCTAATTGTTTTTTAATTTCCCAGCTCCTTCAGCATGGCCCCAAAAAGCTTGAGGTATACAGAAGTACAAAGCATTTTAGAAAAAGGTGTCCCAAATAGTCTCACATTCTAACAGGTTTATAAATAATATCTTTGGAGTTTGCATACCATGTTCCATATGATTATTCATACACTAAATTTTACAAAATATTTTCCCATCAAATGAACATATTGATCTATATTATTTTAATTAAATAATCATTTAAATATGTCTCCTGCTTTATTGCATTCATACACACAAAGACACTATTATATTACAGCTTTTTGAAAATGGAATAATATTTTTCATGAGACATCTTTTTGTCAAGTTAGAATAAAGTTTGCTGCATAATTTTATTTAAAAATTCATCTGAATGGGACTATTGTGCTAGATGAGAGACTACTGAGAGTTCATCAATTGCTTTTGATTTCAAGACTGGCCACTGAAAATAAAACCTTATTAACACTTACAAAATCTTTGTTCACTGGAGGAGACATGCTTCTGTGAGCCTCCTATAAAGAACTTATGCATGGCTGTGTTTGGGAAGAACATAAAGTATTGGAGGCAAAACCAAATAAAACAGAGGTGCTTCCAGAAAATACCTCGTGAAAATACTTAGTAAAGATCAGCTAAGGTGTTGGAAGTCACAGTCTTAAGAAAAGATGATTCATGATACTATCCATAATTCTGAAATAAACATAGAGTTCTCCATCCCAATATGTAAAGAAAATATAATCCATTTTATAGACAGGTATTATTTGATCAATATTAATGTGATGTACCAATTGATAGATTAAAGAAAAAGCTTTTGTATTAAATTCCAACAGAGATCAACATCCCTGCTGTAAACATTTAAGATATTTTATACCCTTAGCCACAGTCCTCCAAAGAGCTTCTGGTAGAAATAAAATGTCTCCAGAGTTTTGTGACATTATGGCAACAGCCTTTCAGATCCCTCAGGGCATCGTATAGCTGGTATTCTGCTTTTGTGTAAAGAAATCTTAATAAAATTCAAGCACCGTGAAATGGAAAGTCTGGAAAAAATGACGAGGTTTCAGAAACTGAAGCAAAATATGATCTTTTTGTTGGATTCAGGGGATGAAAAATCCTACAGGGATAAAAACAAGGAAGGAGGCAATGGAGCGTGATTAAGATTCAGGAGTTAAGGTGTTTGTTTTGATCGAGCAAAACCACCACCACTGCCGATCGGACTAGGGTCTGTACTGGCAGTGTGAACCCTGGGTGGAGACAAGGGTGCGGGCAGTGGCACTGCCCCAGCACCTCACCCACCACATAGGACAGCGCCGCGGGGCTCTGCTTCCCAACCGCAGTGGGTGCCTGTGGTGGATGTGTCACATCAATGTCGGAAAGACATTGATGGCAGCCTCCCTGGGCTTCCCTGGCCATCAATGAATGATATGCGCACAGCTGCTCGAAATTGGAGGTGGAGGAGAACTATAGGCATCACATAACTCATTTTGAAGCTTAACAAGACTTCAAGGTCCCAAGAATGAAGCAATTGGCACCTGGCATGCCTGAGCTCTGTAAAAGCAATACTTGTTAGAATAGAAATTTATTTCTTCCATCTAAATTTGTTATTAGCAATCTGCCTCCCAATGAGATTATTCCCTTTGCCATAGCAAAGTTTCCCTGTTCAGCTCCACAGGTTGTTATTGTTTTACTTAGTTAAAAAACAGTTTAGATTATTCTATTATTCTATTCTATTCTATTCTATTCTATTCTATTCTATTCTATTCTATTCTATTCTATTCTATTCTATTCTATTCTATTCTATTCTATTCTATTCTATTCTATTCTATTCTATTCTTTCTGTTCCAGTCTAGTCTAGTCTAGTCTTTTGCATTTTCTGTTTTATTCTATTCTATTCTAGTTATGACACCAAGATCGGCAGCATGTTTTAGGGTTAGTTTCAGTCTTTCTGGAACAAGGAAACACAAACTAAAATAGAAGCACTTATAAGCATGATGGAGATGCAGACAGGGAAAGGGGAAAGTGTACTTTCCTAAGCTTAAGAGTTTTGCCAAAAAAACCCAAAGTGTGTTTACTTATCTGGACAATAGGAATGGAGAAGCCCATGAGTTGAAAGACGTTTCTTGACTTGTTCTATTTGTAGTCAAAACATAGCCAGCAGAACAAAGAAAGTATTCTCTACAGCCTCTTCTAGATGTCAGATAACTGTCTATTTAAAGTTACATCTTCAGGTTTAGCCTTGTTAATATGTTGTTTTATTACAAATGAAAATGAAATAACTGTCGGCAAATTCATGTTTCTCTAAGTTCAAAGCACACGTTTGTTCAGTTGCCAATTTAATAACATCTTCATAACTTTTATATGTCATAGAATCACTTTAGAGAAAAGACAGGACAAAGGTGTGGGACTTCTTTTCCTGATACTGCCACAGTTATGCACTGCAGCTCTAACAACTCAGTATGACCTTCACTGTCAAAAAATTTCACTGATTTTGTATACTTAATTTTTTGATGAGAGATTTAACAGTCTGCAGATGCTTAAAAAATGATGATGTTAGCTTGTCTATTTCTGTTTTCCAGATTTAAAACAGGGATTCCATTAACCTATGCTTTAGGATATTTAAGGATTCAATGCATTAAAATGTATGAAGTGCTTTGACTGATACAGGAAAGTGCATTTCTTTTCTGTATTATTACAGAATTATATAACTGGGCAGATAATGAAACCAGTAAACAGTATGGTAAATCATGGTATGTTTTTTACTTCTTAAAATACTGTCACATTTTTTTATAACCATGACTGTTAGTAGATCTGGCTCAAGAGCCAGGGGAAGGAATAGGAAGAAGGTGACAGCTAAGCTTGTGGCCCAGGACAAACTGGATTCAGATCAACAGTGAAAGTTACGTTTACTCTAAGGTAACGCTTCTGTTCAAGCCAAGGAGGTTTTTCCACTGATATTGTCAGATTTTTTTCAACATCTCCCAAGTTCACACAATGGTTTCCCACTGCTTCTGCTCACTACAGTAATTTCACTCTTTTAGAGCAGAATCCATACTATATAATAACTCTGCAGAATTCCTATCAAAAAGGAATCTTCGTTGACTTGACTTGACCAACATTTACAAATAGTACATTTTCCCAAATAGAGGTTCATGGTGTCATGTCATGGTTGAAATATTTTAAAAGTTTAACAGTGCAATATTCAGCAGCTGCATAAGACGACAAGAATTTGACACCGCAGCTCCTTTTTACTATTTCTGTTAAGGGTAAAATGAGTCTTCACAATAATGAAGGTTTGTCTGGAAACTGAGATGCTCAGAAACATTATTTGCTGTAAGTCCTTGTTTTAAAATAAAGGATAAATGACAATTGTAACTAGAAAATTTCAGTCCTTCATGTATCTAAATCTAATTTCTTAATGGACTTGAATGATTTGTTTTTACCCACAAACAATTTAGCATTAAAGAAATTATGACTGATTTATATACTCAAAATCTATATAAAGCTACATAAAAATAACTTAAAAAAAAGGTAGACGTCATCAAATAGGCACTGGAAAAATATCACTAAAATGTTTACTATTAATAAGTAATTATTAATAACTATAGATATTAATAACTAATACATAATAAATAACTACTACCCTAGTTTAGCATTTCTATCTCTTTAAATAAAAATAGATTTTGAATTTTTAAATGAGAACAGGTCATGAATAGGCATTTTCCGGTAATCAGAGTGATAAAAGTTACCAGTACCAAACTGGACGTAATTGCTGTTGCATAGTCTGTACCTCATGTGTGAAAATTATTTCCTTTGAACAGTGAAGCTGTTTACTCAGACATTTCAAGGCCCAGAAATGAAGCTAGCTAGTGCTTATTTCCTGTAGGCTGAAGAAGGT